GACTGCGTAACTCCGAGTTTCCAAATAGCAGCCCATGAGAGAGCCTCAAAGGCTACATGAAGCGCGGATATAGTCCGGTATCCTACATAGGTGGTGTTAGCACGAGTGACGCAAAATATTACCACGGGATGTCGTCGCCACGTGCAGTTATCAAAAAGTCAGAAACTGCTATGATTTGACGTCATCAAGACGTCACCGACTGTATGATATCATCGATCGGTCGCAGGCGGTCTGGCCCTAAAGGCTACGCAAAAAAAAAAAGCTTAGGTCAGGAAGGTTAGAACTCCTACAATCTTGGAGGCATTACAACAGCAGGTTATTTGCCGAAATATTTCGTATGGGGGCCTAGTAAATCGGCTTAGAAGAAAAATATGCTGGCTGCCGCCTTCGTGTCGACCAAAGGTCGATAAGTGACGGAGCCTGTGAGTTTTTATGCTGCTGTGTATAACACACCTGACTGCAGCAGAGCAACAATCACTGGATTCGTCCGGTAGCTATTGTGCTTGATCGCTGATCAGAATGTCACGGGATCGAACCCTGACCATGGCGGCCACATTTCAATCGATAGGAAATGCTACGGACCACTCAACTTGGATATAGGCAGACATCAAAGGACACCGGATGGCCAAGATTTCAAGCACCTTCCACTACGGTATCTCTTAAAATCGTATCGTGGCTGTGGGGCGTAAAACTGCAGATAAATTCTTATTGTCACGTGCTCCGTCGAAATGTGACCGCCGTTGCCAGCATCGAACCGCCGACCTACTTGCCAGCACTGTAGCAAAGTGCATTATCTTTCACGAAGTTTACACTAAAATATGGCGTTCACGAGAACCTCATCCCCGCGCAGTTCTGCGACCTGAAGCAGCACTACCTGAACCTCAACTACGGCATCGCCGCCTACGACGTCGACTTCGACTCGATTACACACCCGTGCAAATTGCTGGGCATCGATGGGCCGTACAGCCGAGTCTACTTCCTGAGGAAAGTGCGAGACTTCGTCGCGTCAAACTACACCGGCGTCCCCAGCAAGGCCGAATGCGACCAGGTCACGTGATGTCCGTGCAGCGCCACTGCACCTCGTATGCCGGCCCATCCTGGTAAGTTTCCCGACAGCGTCATCATCTTACAGTGTTGTAGTAACCTCGATATAGTGCACAGCTTCATTTGATTGATTGATTGATTGATTGATTGATTGATTGGTTGATTGATTGTCTGACTGATTGATTGAATGCTTGCTTGATTGATATGGGGGGTTTAACATCCCAAAACCACCATATAAATATGAGAGACGCTGTAGTGGAGGGCGCCGGATATTTCGATCACCTGGGGTTCTTTAACGTGCACCCGAATCTGAGAACACGGGCCTGCTGCACTTTCGCCTCCACCGAAAATACAGCCGCCACAACCGGGATTTGATCCCATGACATGCGGGTCAACAGCCAAGCGCCTTAGTCACCAGACCACCGCAGCGCATTACATCATTTATAAGTAGAACAGCACAAGCATAAGAAAACACACACAAGACACAAGATGAAGTGTGGCGTCCTGTCAGCACTCTGTTCTGTCTCTCTCTCTCCTCCATGCCTGTCACTCTAGTCCCATTTTATCTGTGAGCCCCACCTCCCCATGTGGCCTGCTGGCTAGTGTTATATGGACTCTGTTAACGCGATAGCGTTAGAGAGCGGGTGCCGCCAAAATTCCGCCGTCAGTGTCGGTACCGTCGGTTTTTGAGCAAAATATCGTCCGTGAGCGAAAAATCGAGAAAGCAAATAAAATAAAATAAAATGAATAGAATTTTCGGTCCCTTTGAGGATTGAACTCGGGCCGTTCGGGTGGCAAGCAAATGTTCTACCACAAAGCCACGACATCTTTTTTTTTTCTTTCTTTATTGCCTGTTTACATACAACATTCACAAACATATATACATCAAACAAAGTAGAAACATGAAAAAAAAAGAGGTAAAAAGCATCATATTTAACAGGCTTTTTAAGATTCCTTCATCTGTAGAAGGCTTTCTACTTGATGAAGCCATTCGGGCATCTCTTGTTGAACCTTTTGTGCTTCCACGAACGAACAGACAGATTGAAAGAAATATTGCCTAACCGGACGTGCATTAACATCAGCATGGCGCACCGCCATTCTAGATTGCCATATACCGTGCAGGCCCAGTAACATAACTAGGTCGAAAGGTATTCCTTCTTCATTTGATACTGGTAGAAATCTGATGCCATAGGCGTTGAGAGGCAGATCCTTTTTCAAAGTCCTTTAGAGAACATCCCAGAAAAAGACTGCATCCCAGCAGTCTAGGAAAACATGTTCAATTGTTTCCGGCTTTTTGCAGAGAAGGCAATCAACACCCCAAGGAACGAATAAGCCTTTTTCTTGCATCCATGTTTTGACGGGCAAGGTCCCAGTGTGCAACTTAAAGAAAAAGGATTTCGCTCCAGGTGTTACCTCCATTTTTTTTACACGGCTTAAGACATTTTGGCCTGGGCCTACACGGTATAATGCTCTATATAGGGGAACAGGAAGAACTGTTTCTACTAAATCTTTGTATAACTTTTTACGCGAAACCGTACTGAGGTATTCCAATGAAAAACGCGTTTTTAGAAAGAGACATGAATCAACAACTTCTTTTAAGAAACCTCTAATACTTGCCTTCATGTGAACAGATGCTACCACAAATTCTGGCAACCGTCTTCCAAGCCTAAGCTGTATAACAGTACGTATGAATGGGTCTCGATTATTTCGGAAAAACATAAACCGATTAACTAACTGACGAAGGTACAAATGACACAGACCAAGTCCTCCAGAGCGAACCCGTCTGAATAAGTTAGTTCTACTTGTTCGCTCCCAAGAAGAACCCCACAAGAAAACAGCAAATATTCGGTGAAGCTTCTGTAGATTCACACGTGAACAATGCATTACCTGAAGGACATACCAGAGCTTACTGACTAAAAATACGTTACAAAAGGTCGCTCTGGCGAAAATTGATAGCTGGAAACCATTGAGTTGTTCAGCTTTTTCTCGTAGCTCCACGGCCTGACGCCGCCAGTACGGTTCACTGTCACAATAATATTCTAATGGCACACCTAGGTATCGTACCGGAGTAGTAGTCCATGAAATACCAGCCACAAATTGTGGAGTCACAGGCCATTCGCCGTGCCAGTAACCCAGGCACTTGCTCCAGTTTACCAAACTACCACTTGCATTACAATAAAGGTTCACAATTTTTATGGTTTCAGCGATACTATCATAATCTTTACAAAACAAAGCTATATCATCTGCGTATGCCAGTACCCGTACTTCAGCTTCTTCTAGTTTGTACCCCACTATGTTATTGCTTTTCATGACTTTTTGGCAAAATGACTCTATATAAATTGAAAATAGGAGGGAAGACAAAGGGCAGCCTTGTCGTACAGAACGTCTGACATTAATTCGTTTCCCAAGAACTTTGTTGATGATTAGCCGAGTTTTACATCCAGTATATGCCATTCGAACTGTATCTCGAATTACTTTGCCAACATTGACATTGTCTAACAAAAGAAAAAGAATTTCGTGCGGTACTCGGTCAAATGCTTTTTCTAAATCTATTTGGATCATCGCGATGTGATCATTTGTGGCATCGCAGCACTCCAATACACTTCGTGCCTTGTGAATGTTTGTGAATATAGTGCGCCTTTTAATCCCACATGTCTGGTGGTCGCCTACAATGTTATTAATAACTGTCTGCAGTCTCCTTGCTAGCACTTTCATCAAAATCTTGTAGTCGATATTTGAGAGACTGATTGGCCTGTACGATTTCACTTCACGTAATTTAACTGCGTCCTCAGTTTTTGGAATTAAAACAGTATGAGATAGCAGAAAAGAAGGTGGCAGAGTCTTTATGTCTAAGGCTTCGTTAAAAACCGCTGCCAGGATCGGTGCTAGTTCGTGTTTGAATTCCTTATAAAATGTGGCTGTTAAGCCATCAGGTCCTGGGGACTTTCCCAAATGGAGGGCAATGATTGCTTTTGTCACTTCCGGTTCAGAAATAGGACATTCTAGGCTGTCTTTCCTGCAGTCCTCAACATTTGGCATTAATTTTAAAAATTCATTCTTGAATTCATCTACATTTACTTTACATTTATCAAATAAAGTGGTGTAGTACTCGTTGAAAGCATCCTCTATATATCTTTGTTCACTAGTAACGTTACCCATGTATTCAATCTGATGTATAACATTCCGCTGAGCGTTTCGTTTTTCGAGACCAAGCATTCTTTTGGTCGGTTTCTCTCCTACGGTCATTTTCTCTGCCCTTGCCCTTATTTGTGCGCCACGATACTTCTCCTCATCAATTTGTTCCAATTTGGACTTTACTGACCTTATATCATTCGTGAATAAGCCTGGCGTTTTGCTGTCTTCTGCTAGCAGTTCTTTGAGATTTAAACGTAGGGTTCTTTCTTCTTCACTCTTTCTGTGTTTTATTACACATGAGCGTTCTATAGCTATCAACTTTATATTCTGTTTAAATTGTTCCCACTTCACTCCGTATTTTTGGTCTCCACTATCTATGTTTACCAACGCCTCTCGAACACTGTCCATAAATTTTTCATCTTCCAAGAGATTAGAATTCAGCTTCCACGTGTCCCAGTTAAATACTGGTCTACGTCTATTTCTTTTACCTATTACAAATGATACTAAGCAATGATCACTAAATGAAATAGGGAGGACATTGTACTCACTGATAATCGGAATTAAATCCAGTGATACGTAGGCCCTATCTAGGCGCGCATGACTGGAGCCTTGGAAATGCGTATACAGTGTCGGTCCTTTACCAATACACTCTGCAACATCCTCAAGGTCTAAGTCAGAAATTAGATTCGTTAACGCGACTGTGCTTGAGTCGTTGAAATTGGATGTACTTGTTTTATCATCGGCACTGATCACACAATTAAAATCTCCCATAAGGATGACTATGCGATCGCATTCACAATAAGTACGAATTTCGTCGAATGTTACACACTGTTCATCAACTTTAAGAGGTGCATATAAACAAATCACTCGCCAATTAAGAGAAAAGAAGGTCAAATCACATACAACAAACCTTCCGGATGAGTCAGACGTGACCTTTTTGGACACTGGCACCTAAACTATTCCGCACAAAGATCACACACCCTGCCGACCTACCAACTGCATGACTGACGCTAGCGGTGTAGCGTCCGGTGAAACGTTGCAGTAGGCTCTCGGTGGCGTCCACGCTCTCCACTTTGGTTTCCTGAACTGCAATAATGTCCAGGTCTTGGTCCATGGCTAGTCTGTAGAGCTGAGTCTGTTTCTTCCTGGAAGCCAGTCCTCGTACATTGAGCGTCGCTGCTTTCACGAACCCGCTCAGCGACGTGATCGGTGAGCGGGTCCAAGCTGAGAGCCCTGCACGTTCACTTATTGGGCTCTCGTCGTCCAGGGTGGATCCATGTTGTTCACCTTTAGTTTGAGCGGCCATCGTCGCGTTTGAGCGACGACGACCGTTGTCGGGCAGCGTTTCGTTTCTTGCCTCCGCTGACCACCTTCCACTGCACTTCCGACTTTACTTGTGTTTCGTCTACTTGAGCACCGTCGTCTGAATCGCGACGGCGTTTTGCAGACGCCGATTCTAATTCCATGCTTAAGGTATCCAGGTCACTAGGCAAATCCTCATTTTCGTGTGTTTTGTTCGCCAAAGAGTGCTGTGAAGCCGAGTTTAGAGGAGTCGAAGCAGCGTTGGCCTGGGACGCCGGCGTTTCAGGGCGCGTTGCTTGCAGCTGCGACGCGGCGTGCATCGCAGGCGCAGGACGCGTCTCTTCGCTAGTCGTTGCGGCCGCTTGACTTCCCATCTTCCGTTCGGCGTTCGTGTCCGGGGCTGAAGAAACTTGCTTGCTTTTCTTCAGCACCGGCGTGTCGTCCGATGTCGTCTGCTTCTGTGGTGTCGCAGGCAAAGACGCTTGTTCCGATTCCTCCTCATCCATGAGAAGTTCACTCTGTTGAGTCTCTGGTCGTCGCCCTGCAGCTCGTGCGTATGAACGGTTACACTCGTCCTGCTCATGACCGAAAGAGTGGCATTCGCTGCACCTTGGGACCTTACAATCGCGTCGCATATGCCCCGTACTTCGGCACCGCAAGCACAAAGGCGGTCTTCCCGGCACCACGACCAGTGCCGTACTGCTGCCAATACGCACCTGATGGGGCAGTTGATCCACAGAAACGCCATCTCGTAGTTGCATGCGTATTACACGAGTGGTCGATTCAACTCCTTCAAAATCCTCGACTCTCCATCGGTCATCGGTCACCTCCTTGACGTCGCCGTATTCATAGAAGGCACGTCGAATAGCGTCTTTTGTAACATCGAACGCTAGCCAGTGCAATTTCATTTTAACCTCTTGCCGCGTCGGGTCAATGACGAGACATGCCCGGTCTTTAACTTTAAGAATGCCTGCGTCTGTCAGCGCTTTCTTTGCTTCCACGGTCTTCATGTTCAATAGCCACACGTGCGACATCTGATATGCTCCGATGCCACTTACTTGCTGTATGACGCCTAAATCTTTGAGAGGTTTCCTGAAGTCGTCGATGCGGTACGGTCGGCCGCTGACGTCGCAGTGTAGTGCTCGACGCATCGCTTCACCTGATGGCAACGAAGTCCTTTGGAACGAGGGGAGACGCTGTACCGCGGCCGGCGTCGGCCGCTGTCGCTGCTCGGGATGAGCTTTCCATCCTGCGTCTGCACCAAACGGCGTCCAGAAGCAGAATGACAAAGCCACGACATCACTTGCAGCAGTTTCGGAAAAAAAAACACTACATAAATGCCATGTGGTGGAAGGAGTCTCCTCAACGCATTTTGTTCGACAGGTGTCATGACGAAAACGAGTCCATTAAGCGATTTGTAGGCTATGTGGGAGGCCAACAAACTACACCGAAAAAGGCCCGGATAGTGCAGCCATCGCCACTAGAAACACACAGGAACTTTCAAACAGCTCTAAAAACGGACAACTATGTCCATCTAGCGGAAAACGTCATCCCTTTCCAGAGGTGTTGATCGAGCAAACAGCAAACGCTAGACAATGTGCTGCGATCTCCGAGGCACTATGAGACTCATTATGGCCTCCTAGATGGTGAGCGTGCAGCGTGTATCTTAGTCCATGCGACTCTTGGTTTAGATCAAAAACCTGTATACCATTCGCGCACGCGCGCTGGTACAACCTACAGTGTGTCCGTGTGCGTGCACGCGTGTGTGTGTGTCTGTAACAAAACGTATAAGTATGCACCTTGTGGTTGTAGGGCGCACTAGGAGCCGGATTTCGCTATTGTGTTGAACTCTTCAAGGCGAAGCTTAAGGGTCCCCCCATCGTTCGCTTTACGCTGCCTGATTTTATGAAGTGTGCTAACAGATACGGGCAGCACCAGAAGTTAGTTTCTGTGGGAGAGTGTGATGGTGCAAGTGCGACAAGCGAGTTCTTTCGGTGGTCGGAGGAACGCCTGTAGTGTTTTGTTTAGTTCCGTTTTTTTTTTGGGGGGGGGGGAGAGTGGGAGCTTAAGGAAAGTGGGACAACAAAGTTACGGGAAGACACCTCCCTCCCTCCATCCCTTGGGCACCGCTTCTACTGACACCCTTCACGCAAGAACACTTGCCTCCAAGGTAGCAGTATTAAAAAATAAAATAAAATAACGACGACAAGCAAGTTCTTTTGCTCAACCAGGGGAAGGAGGCATTGTTTTGGCTGGGTGTGGGGGGGGGGGGCAGAGAACAACAGGGTGAGCCTTTTCCGCCCCCATCACCCTAGTTGCAACAGGCGTGAGGACTGAGAAGAAGCAGGCCAAGAGATGTCACATGTTCGCAGTCCATTATTATATTTTAGGTTATTACATATCTTAGTGTCTACATCCAATTGACGACAAGAGAAGGGTAAGATGAATGGTCTAAGAAAAAAAAATTTCTTACACCGTGGTAAGGTGGAAGCTTGGGATGAAAAAATCGGGCGACAGTGGAGTGCTTGCTCGAGCCGACAAGTGAACTCTTCTTCAAGGCTGTTCCCTTCCACCTATCAAAACATCAGCTCGAGAAGACGCCCACCGTTAACGGATTTTCTTTCGTCTTAGTGCCTACACTATCTAATGAGAAAACCGCTACCTAGCCCATTCCTCTTTCCCCTTTTTTATATACACGTTTGCGGCGTTCCTGTTCTCTAGGTGGGGCATTTTCGAGGGGAAATTGGCGTTTATCTCACCATTTAAACAATTAAAAAAGAAGTGCTCAGTCGAGATTTGAACCGTCAGTGGCCGTAGCAAGCCTTATCCGATGCCTTTCTGCTAATTTCTACAAACTATGTAACTTAGTTTCGCTGCGACGTACCTTGATGACAGTTGGGGTTCAACGTCCGAAAACCAGCAAGTGATCATGAGGGACGCCTCAGTGGAGGGCTCCGGAAATTTCGACAACCTGGGGTTTGTGCACTTAAGTCTAAGTACACGGGCTTCTACCGTTTCCGCCTCTGTCGAAAATGTGACCGCCACGGCCGGGATTTCATCCCGCGACCTGCGGGTCAGCAGCGGAGTGCCTTAGCCAGTAGACCACCGTGGCAGGTATTGCGACGTACCTCAATGTCCCCTGATATGTGTAACACAAATATCGTCACCCATTCAATTAGTTTTGCATTTTTTACAGAGGCGGTGGTAAGCTTTTCCATGTGGTGCGTAGCGAGACGTGAACATTATCAACTTCCAACGGGTGCGTGCTCTCTTCGTTCATCTTCTGCCTTGCTTCTAAAAAATATATACATGCGCTGGTTTCTCCCGCGTTGTATGAAACAGCTCTGACAGTTGAGAAAGACGGGTGGCCAGAGAGAAAAGAGATGAGAAAAAATAAGAGTAAGAGAGAGAGAGAGAGAGAAGCAAAAGGAAGACGGACAGAAAAAGACATAAAGAGAAAGTATTCGAAACTGAGAGAAAAAGACAGAAATTGACGAACACAAGAATGAAATAGCACAGAAAGTCAGCATAGCCAGTAGAGCAAGGGTTGGGAGAAAGAAGTGAGGATGAGGAGGGTGAAAAGGAGAAGAGGGGGCAAAGCGTATATATAGAGTAGTTATAGGCTAGATTTACCGGCGCGAAAAGACGAAACACTTAATAAGGAACACAGAAACAGCGCTGCACTCACAACTAATTTATTACTTCGCAAGCAAGGCCTTTTTCAAGGCATGAACACAGGCGACGGAAAAGTAACACGACGAAAAGAAGCGATAAAAGAACCTCGCGGAAGCTGCTTTGCGGAAAAGGTAATCAACTAAAGGTAATGTCTTTCCGCGAAGGTGAATCTGTCTGTATTACGAACCAACTCGCCCAATCGCAGCAGCTTTAAGATGCGTAGTCGTGTGAAGTATTAAAATCGAATTGGTGTGGAAACGAACCGGGAATGAAGAAAGGAGAACGCCAACGCCACCAGCTCCACCGATTCCTCAGTATTTGCACCATTGGTATAGCTGCTCCAGCTTATGTTCTCATCGTGGTTTCGAGACCACTCGCCGACAGCAAAAAAACGCATCTCAGTGCTTGGACCACTAAAAAAAAAGTGGTGACGTTGCGACGTAGTTGTTTTGACAAGCATCAAAAATGAAAAACGCGTCTTTGGCGGCTTCGGTCGATACAGGGTTTGAATCTCCGAGCAGAACTAAATCTTGTGCGTTCGCCTCACTAGCTCTCTTACCGCAAAATCCACATAAATTTCCTTCCAATTTTTTAAGCTACGGACAATTTTATGCGAGACGTACCGACGCCACCACTTTAGATTGTTAAACCATTGACAGTGTGATTCACGAATTGAACTGACAGGGTAAAAAAAAAAAAGCCGGAATCACTAACCCTATACTCTTCTCACGCATATGTGTCTAAGCTATGGCGCTGTTGATTTACTTGTTGAACATACATATGGCTGTGTGAATAGTATATCACTATAAATGGTAGCATGAGAACCAACTCGTAAATTAGTTCATACAAACCTGCGCACGACTATTTCAACGTTCTCACAGATGCGATCCCGCATGTGCCGAATAGCCAACCGGCTTGTGTCGAAACTTTCAGTGTCCGCTTTTCTGTACCCGACTTCTAAATCTGTCCTTTCTTTCAGGATACTACGCTGTGTAGACGACTCCAGCTTGAACTACAACGCCAGCCGTTTACAAAGCAACGAAACTGAACCGCTACGATGGCGCACCATGCTTTGTTGTCTCACTGACGAGCATTTCATTGACTCGCAGATTATCTTTTGCATATCTTTGACGGACATATCAGCGATAGTATTATAGCGATATCACTCGACGGTATTACACCGATATCACTCCTTATGAAAGCTGCATTGTGCCTGTTTGTTTGTCTCTTTGTGTCTTGTTCACATTAGCGACGTACTATATCCAGCTCCGCAGCACCCATTTCACTTGCAGTGTATTAAAATTGGTTTTCTTGTGGACCATAATTAACCCGCACATCAATCGTGGTACGAGGTGTAAGAATATATCGAATTTAGATGGAATGATCTGCGGATTTTATGTGTGAGGTTAAATTTAAAATAGAAAATTAAATCGCCAAAGCTTAGCAAAATAATGCTACGCGATGTTTACTTGAACTTGGCAGCTAAATTGTGACATAATCACACAACAGATGCTGTGTGAATTCGTCACGTACAGTTATTTAACAACTTGTATCCGACTTGCTGCACATATTGAATGGTGTGCACGCTACGCAAATTCCACAATTGATGCCTCATAACTTCTTAGCAATTAAAACCTAGCAACGTTTACACACAGCCATACAGAGCGTCCTCAACTTCGATCAGAGATATTACAAATTACTAAAAATATACATTTTTTTGAAAATCAGACACATCTCAGCATAATTTCAAAGCAAACCGTTTCGCTCGTCCATTGACAAAAATTACTTCGAACTAGAGCTAAAATATTTCCAATATGTGCCCAGTTAATAGTCTGATCCTCACTCGTTTGCAGCCATAAATTGTCAAAACGCAGGTTTCCGGTACCGCTGCTTGTTACAGTGTTTGCAGTTTTCTTCCTCAAATGATTTTTTTAATACAGGTAACTGCAAAAAAGTTTTCGTGACTGCATCTCAGTTGTTTTTTGATGGCAGTAAGTGTTGCGACACAGGAACACGTATTTCGCAAGCAAAACTTCAAACTATTGTTGCATTAAAACCGGTTAAAATGTAGAAAACGGCTGAAAAATCAACAAAATTTTCAATTGTTAAGAATATATATAAACAATAAGGGTATGTAGCGAATAATTTGAGCCAACAAGGAACTTTGAAAAATCAAGATTTATTCTATAGCCTGGATCTCTTTAATCTTTATTAAACACCTGCAAGCCTTCAAAAACCTTCCTATCTCCTTATCCTCGGGAGCACACTTCCAAAAGTATAGAATTTCACGCATATAAATGCAATCCAAAGAGTCAAATGGTGGCACCTATTGTAATCTTACTCTGAGGATATGAAAAAA